GTCAACAAAGGAGCTATGCAGATAAGTTATACAGTTATATGAAGAAATGGGAAGCTTTAGCAGTCATAGAGCATCCTTGTAAAAATTGTGCAATCAATTTTTAAACTGATCTATTGAAATATCCTTCTCTTTAAAGTATATGGTTATTAGATCTGTGTAGGTGTAGACCACACCTGCCAAGCTAACTCTTGACAATACACATTACTCAAGACAATACACATTACAAAAGTGACACCAATTGCTGGTGCAGCAACCAGTGAATTGTGGTCTTGCTTCGGTGCCACAGAAAATTTTTGTCTTTTTTTTTCCAAGTTCTGTGACTGCTGATCAGCAGGATTTGTGTTCTACTGAGAAAGGCAGTGGGAGGGGGGAAGAGGAAGCACAATAACAAAGTGGAAAAACAGAACATTTCAGCAGAGCAAATGGAACTGGGGAGATTCACATCACAACAGCTTAATGCTTTTATAGTTGGGCTTAATCTTACTGAAACCAGCAGGTTTAATGTATGTTTTTACATTTAAGGTAGTTGCCCAAGGAGTTAAATATGTGTATCCACACAAAACAAGAATGAATGCCAGCCATGCAGCATGTAAATGCTTTGGGTGGGAGGGTTCCACTGGGTATTTTTCTAGAAGAGAAAAAAGTTATAGAAATAGAGACAATAAGCTTGAGACTGAAGTTTATACCTCAAAAAAGCAGTTTTTCCTTTTGGGGCTGTTTCAGAAAGTCAAAGTCCTGGCTTCTCTTAACAACATGAAGACTGCTTCCAACCTGAAGATGATACAACCTTGCTTTCTTTCAAGCCACTGTCACAGCTCTGATCCCCTGCAGTGCCCTCAGTAACACCAGGCTAAAGTTCAGGGATGGTCAAATAAGGCAAATTAAAGGTTAAGAAGTATTAGCAAAGAAACAGAGCACCAAGCAGATAATAAATATGCCACTTTGTAAATTCCTGCTATGCACACACTTGAACGTTATGTGCGGTGCTGATCCTTCCTATTTTAGAAAGGATACAGCTGAAACATTTCAGAGAAGCTAACAAAGATTATCAAAGGTTGGGACAACCTCTGTGTGAAGAATGACTAATTAGCCAGGAGTGTTCAGCTTCCACAGGGAGTCAAGGGGTAGTAAGAGAGACATCCATAAAACGGGTAGCAGGGACACTGTGAATGGGGATCAGCTGCGCTTTGGCTCTCCCAGTACAAGAACAAAGGGTTATAACATGAAATTAGGACTTGGCAGGTTTAAAAGGAAACGTGTTTCTCCACAAAATACGTAACTGAGCTAGAAACATCTTTTGACCGAGATCTTGCGCACATTTAAATTTTACATGGTCTAATGGGGCAACAGGACTTCACAGAAGAGAAATACGCTGGAAATGATTAAGTACGTAGACGCTGTCCCTTTCTCGAAAATTCCCTGAGATACCAGTTGTTAGGGATGATAAAACATTCTGCAGAGCAAGCTGAAAATAACTTTGCAGCGGCTCAACTCTCTTATTTTTCCCTAGGCAGCGACTGTTTGTTGCCGTTACGGACAGGGCAGATAACAGAGACAAAACACAGGGCTGGGCAGTAAGAGTGCTGTTATTGACCTCGCCTAGGCGGATGCCATCCTCGGCCGACGCCGCATCACCCTCACCCCTCAGGGAGGAAGGCCCGCCGGCAGCTGCAGGCCCCGGCCGGCGCTGGCCAAGGCGCAGACCCAGCACGGCCCTTCCCCTCCCAGCACCCCCACCTCCCG